TTTTTTTATTTTTTATTTAATATTATGAGAATGAGTTTTAAAATTAAAATTCGCTTCATTTTACTAACTTACATATTTTGTATTGATTATTGTATTTAGTATTTTTTAGATAGATAGATGAAAGTAGATCAGCCATTATATTGAACCTTCTATCAGCTTATAGATTCTCTAAATTGATTATTAAGAGTATAAATGTAAAAAAAAAAAACGAGTAAAGCTGAGTCATCGAAGCTCTTAAAGAGAATAATGCTCGCTTGATAGTTAATATCTCCTCCTATTCACACTCTCAACAGTAGCAATAATAAAAACAGGCTAATCTCATCTCATTAGTAGGATCTGTATTTTGTTGCATAGTGTATTATGTGCATTTGCAGTGCAAAGAAATTGCTACGAAATTTATAACGAAGCAATAGGGTCAGAGCCAAAGACATTAATCTTGAGCCAACTGTCACGTGCTTTGGTGTCCGCCCTGGACGTAGCCATGACACGTACCCATTCCCTAGCACACACACACACACACACGCAGGGCGTACAGCCACGCCTCTTGGCAAATGTATTGTGTGCATTACGCTGTTGTCAATCAATCTTGAGCAAATTGATGGACAAGTTGCCGTTAGTTATCTCCGAGTGAGTATGTATGTGTGCATGTGTGTGGGTGTGGGTGTGCATGTGTGTGTGCTTTGGCATGTGTGTCTTGCCTGTCATGGCTATGAAGCACTCGCGAACGACAGTTACGCTCAAAAGTAGGCAACTAGTTAGAATCACTTGGAGCACTAATGGATGATACGTCTGAATGGTTGTTTAATTTTTGAAATATATAGTGAGTATATTTGTTTATAATTTATAAATATTTAATATGCTGGAAAAACTTCAGCAGCGGAGCAAATTTATCAAGTAGTGAATCTATGAAACTCTATTCTATAGTGTTTCAGATCCAAACAAAATATTCAAGTAATGGACATCGAGATCAGAGATTAGAGATTAGCATATTTATATAAAATAATATAATCAAAGTAAATTAGTTCATTATATTCAGAAACTACTGGGCCTTGCACACGTTAACCGCAATCAGGTGTTTTCCACTAGCCTTTATATTTAGCCAAAAAAATACAAAATGGTTTCAGTTAAGGCCGCCATTTTTACCATCAACTTTCGTTTTTTGACACCATTTGGCCAACATCTTACAGGTCACGAAGAGCACGCCGCACGTGTGGCAAGCATCTCGCTGGGCATGGTGCTGCTGATTGTGATACCCAGCCTGCTGCTGGTGGTCTGTGGGGCCAGCTATTGGATACGCGAAAGAATTGCCAAGGAGGAGGCGGAGGCAGCTGCCGCTTTGCTGCCGAAACGCCCCAAGCGCGTGCTGAGGGGGAATGTGGATGGGAATGGGAATGCAAATGGAAATGGAAATGGGATTGCGAACGAGATTGAGAATGAGCAGATTTGATTAGCACGCTAATGAGGCGTGTAACGCAAATCGTGTGATGGGATTTATCTCTGTGGTTGTGTCAGCTGTCGACTCGCGATATAAAATAAATTTAAAACACACATCAAATGTGCAGTATTTATTATTTATGTAGTTGATAGAATGTTTAAGATTGTAAAAAATATAAATATATAAAATAAA